TCGTCGAGGTCAGCATCGGCTTTGATATCCCCAAACGCTTTACCGAAGCCGATTTTGCTGATCACGTCGAGAGTAAGATACTGAATCTTACTGGCGAGATCCACCGGCTCGTGCCGCGTAGCAGTCGAAAGATACTTTGATCTGATCAGGTCCAGAAGCTGGTGTATGTGTTCGTCCATGTCAGATTCCAGGGACCAATTCTCTTTGCCTGAGTACCCAGACGCCATCTGTTGGCGCCGCTTCGTGTGCTGAGCCTCGTCGAGTTGGCTAAAAACATGGTCCTTGCCAACCTCCATCCGCACGGCTTTGTTGTACCATGCTGTGCGAGTGTACGGTGAGCGCACTGCGTTCATATGGGCCAGCAGATCTGGCGACGACGTAATAAGGTCGTTGGGGCCGATGCGCGCGAGGGGCCCTGAGGTTTGCCGCTGTCAGCAAGGGGCAAGCGGGCCGCACAGGGGCGAGACGGCGCCTCTCCCGCGTAGCGACCTTGGGACTTCCACCTATCTACTCACCATATTCATCTCCGACGGCTTTGTACCAGAGATGCGAATGTCGACTCAGTATCGCGCGCATATGCAGAAGTTCACACCATCCCGAGCTGATCGGGCCAGGGAAGGCTCGAAGGCGCCGGTAGCGAACGAAGGTCGCCACAGCGTAGGCCACGAGAATGACCGCTACGAGCAGCCATTTCGCCGCGTAGAGCTGCGCAAACAAAGACATGATGAATATGCGATATGCTCACTCAAGAAAACGGGCACGAGTCAGGCTACTAATGAACCTTCCTGTTCGAGCGGGGTCGCTCGCTCCTGCACGCATCTCACCACAACCGCATGCTGCGATGCACAGCAACGCTTACGAAGTCTGACCTACAACGGAGGTTAGAACCAATGAGCACTTCATACCGATCACGAGCGGTCCACACGACCGGCAGATGCCAACGCGCACTATCGAGTGCCAATGACACGAGCGTTCGGGTGGCACAGCAGCATAGCAACGCGATAGCAGTGACATAAGAGAAGACGCTCGCTAGACGATCGGAGTGATACCTTTCGAACGGACAGCCATGATTCCACGAATTCTATCAGTTGGATTAGCCGTCACTTGCGCTAATGCGCTCCCACGCGCTGCTTTCAAACGTCACATCTCAGAGCTTCGGCCTACCTATGATGTCGTTATTTGTGGTGGAGGAACTGCTGGTCTTACAGTAGCTGATCGACTTACTGAGGCCTTCCCAGAGAGCAAGTCCTCACAATCGTCTACAAAACACTTTTGGTTGACCTTCATCGCAGAAACAGTGCTGGTTGTTGAGTACGGCGAAGTCGCATATGCGCCAGGGGCATTTGATCCGCCAAGCCTCGTTTGGGGCGGGCCAACTGACAAGGCGGGATACTTCACATTCAACTCAGTACCTAATCCGGAAATGAATGGCAAACAGGCTTTGCTGTTCGTTGGTCAGACTGTCGGTGGCAGTAGCGCCATCAACGGCCAGTACTTTGATCGCGGATCTAGACATGACTATGACGCTTGGACTCAGATTGGAGGTCCTGAGTTTGCAAACAGTACGGCCAAGTGGGACTGGGAGAGCCTGTTTCCCTACTTCAAGAAGGTGAGTAAGGTTGCCGCTCGTGTCTGACGTTAAGCTGACTCGATATAGAGCGTGACCTTCACTCCACCAGAGCCAAGCGTGGTGGAACAGTATGGGTTCACTTGGGACATGTCCGCGTATGGCGGCACGACTCCCATCCATTCGAGTTTTCCACCTTTTCTATGGGGCGACATTCACCTCGCGAGGGATGCTTGGAGAGATATGGGTATCCGAGCCCTAGATGAGTGTGGAGGTGGTGACAAAGAAGGCATGTGTTGGGTACCCATATCTCAGCATCCAGTCACGGCCAGGCGCTCGCACGCTGGTTTGGGCCACTACTCCGACGTTTCGGGTAGACCAAACTACGACTTGCTGGTCAAGCATCAGGTCATCAGGGTTGTCTACACTGACGGCGTCTCACACGGGCCACCACGGGTAGAGATACGATCTCTTTCTAATGATGAAGTGTTCAATGTAACCGCCAAAGCCGAAGTTGTCGTTTCTGCCGGCGCAATGCACACACCTACCATCCTACAGAGGAGCGGCATTGGCCCTGCAGCTCTCCTCAATGACTTGAACATCACCGCGGTACTGGATCTTCCTGGAGTAGGCTCAAACTTGCAAGATCACTCTTCTCCCGGCATATCGTGGAACTGTAAGTATCCAGGTTGCTCGTTAAGTGTGACACTCTGATCACTGACTGTGTCACAGATACGAAGCCTGGCAACTTCTCCAATATGCCTTCAGACATGCTTGATCCTGCTTATGCCGCCAGAGCAGTAGCAGAATTCAATATGATGCCAGCACGAGGCCCTTACACGTTGGCCATGAGTAATACTGCCCTGTACATCTCACTCCCCAACGTGACCGAGGAGTACATGGAAATTATTGAGGAAATGCGCAAGACGGCTGATAGCGACATAGCGGCTGCTCATTTGCCAGAGAACTCCGACCCAAGCCTCGTTGCTGGTTACAAACGTCAGCTTCACGTCCTTGCCGACCTTCTCGCAAACCCAGAAGCCCCCAGTGCAGAAGTACCCTTTGCGACTGGGACGACTATGCGCCCCATCATTCTCCATCCATTGAGTCGCGGTACTGTCCACCTCAATTCAACCGACCTGTTAGCTCAGCCTATACTTGATTACCGCGCTGGCTCCAGTCCCATCGACTTCTCCATCCACATTGCGCATATCAAATGGCTTCGTAAGGTACTGGATACTCCGACTATGCGCAGGTACGGTGCGGTTGAAGCAACTCCTGGCCCAGCTGTTCAGTCAGACGAAGACCTCAAATCTTACATCAAGGGTTCCATGGTACTCTCGCATTTGCACCCATGCTGCACAGCTGCGATGATACCCAGAAATCTGGGAGGCGTAGTAGGACCAGATTTAAGGGTGCATGGTGCGGCCGGATTGCGCGTTGTTGATATCAGTATTCTGCCTTTCCTACCAAGTGCACATACAAGCTCTACAGCGTATGTGATTGCAGAGAAGGTCAGTGGGATTGCAAATGTTGCAGCATATACGCTAACGTTGGACAGGCTGCGGACATCATCATAAATAGTCTATAAACCATCCTTGTCAATCCCCAATGAAGACTACAACGTGTTATAGGTAGCAAATACATAGTACAATGCAACTGTTGCATGATGGAGAGTACTCACGATGTCAAGAGACGTCGTTCAACTTTTACATCTGCGGACAGCTTCTGCAGTTCTTGACTTAACTCGTCCGCCGCAGCATTTAGTTTCGCATCATCGATGGCTTCCAACGCATCCAGAATGAAGAGTACATTCGATGTGCCGTCACTCAATGCAGTCCTCGAGCATTGCCTCCAATTCCAACGTCTGCACGTCACACCACCATCGTCGCACCAGACTGCCTCTCCGGGACTTGGGTGCTCAATGACGATTTCGCCGCCAGATTTTGTGTCAAACTTCTCATCGCCTTTTGCGCGTATCAGGAAAGGGCTTCCTTGATATTTGTCAAGATCCTCGCCTCCAAGAGGGATCTGATGTTTGATGGAAATTCCATTGTAAATATCCGTCAAGCGATTCACACGCGGTAGGCCTGCATCAACACGACGTAACAGGGCTTCGAGACTGTTCATGGTCTTCTTGGGCTTTGCGCCGAAGGCCTTGTAGGCTTCCTTCCAGTGCGCGACATGCGGAATGTCGTTCACCGGCGTTTTTGCGAGTGCTTCTTTGGCTGATGCTTCTGCCGAGGAGAGGAAAGCCTCGCTTGCTGAGTCGGAAGGGCCTGGTGGTATGTTGCTGACGACCATAAGTAGGGCGCGATAATCAGGCCGGAGTTGGAAGATTTCTGGGGCGATGCGCGCGTTGGCAAGATAACTTGAAGGGTCTTGGGTGTTCGTCATTTTGGATGTAGTTGTATATGAGCGACGAATATCAGCTAGTCGAGGTTTGAAGACAGGTGCGATGGTATGCAAGGAGCGTAGAATTATACACATGCGGGCTCTTTGAAGCCATCTCGGTATTTAAATAATGCGTACGCTGTTTTGCTAAGCGCTCTAATTTTCCATGTTTGGAACCGGACTTCCATATTTGACCACAGGGCGTGGAAGTGGAAGTCTCTGTTGACAACTTGACATGGACCAGTCTAGCCGCTTTCCGCTGCGGCTAGCGTGGTGCTAGTGAAGACCTGGCACCCACCATCGTACATCGTCGCGTGCAATCAACGCGTCGCCCACATCGGCGTCATCGCCACCCAGCATGTCGTTCCTGGTCAATCCATTTTCTCGGGCATCTCAAGCTGGTAACGCGTGGTTTTGCGCTGGCGCAGTGACGTCGTACCCGGATCTCGACGACTCCACGCGCGTCGGCGAACAGCGCCCATGCGGCGAAAAGTATGTGGCTGGATGCCGGGTGTTTCATGTGCCTCGCGACGACAGCTCCAAAGCCACAGAGGTCGCAATTGATGACTGGAAGGACCCCGAAGTTGGTGGCGATGCAAAGGACCAAGTGATGGTTTTCCAGTACAAAGGAAAATTTGTTGCGGTCAACCACGTACGTCGCGACATTGCCACTATATGCACTGGGCCTATGCTGACCAAGACCCGTACAGGAATGCCCGCATTCTTCGTATCCACTCTCTAATGGTACACCCTTCGATATCGAAGACTTTGGCGTCGTGCTCAGTTCAGGCATCCAGTGTCCAAAGCACGACTGGTCGTTTGATCTTCATACCGGTCGATCGGACCGCGGTAGCTATAGGCTTCAAGTTTGGGAAACCCAGCAAAGGCCAGGAAATGAAGACCAAGAGGTATGGGTCAGAAGAAAGCAAAGAATCGGATAACATAACACGATGTGGACCTACACCCAACGTCGCGCACGAACGCTTCACCTCATCAACGGAACAGTTCTGTATTAGCACACTATCGTATGCGCTATGCTCTACAACTTGATCCCTGTTACTTCGAAAGTCTGCACCATGTTCTTCTCGAACTTCGACCAGAACTTTGTGCCACTGATCGTGGTATCGAGATGTTGCACGTAACGATCGCCGCTCCCGATCTGGGTGCTCCACCTCGAGACAGTTGCGCCGGATGAAGGACGCCCCGAGAACCCCGACAGCTCAAAGTTGATATACTGTGCAGCGTCCCAATTCACGGCCACGATGACCAACAACGACTTGCTAGCATCGTAGGCAGCGACGACGTTGTCTCGGCCACCATCGAGGATTTTCATACCCGGGCGCATGTGCCGGGCGAACTGCGCAAGCACGTAGTACTTTTGTGTCGATTTACCCAGTGTTTTCGCATCATTGTCCGCGTCGATGAGACCCCAGCCTCCCTGGTCGAGGACTTGCCAGTACTCCCACGCCGTAGGCTTCAGCTGGCGAAGATCCTGGAAGAGGTACTTGGCAAGGTTCTCGCCAGAAGCCACGCCATCACCGTATTCGCTGTTCCAGAGAGATTTCCCGGCCTGTGTAGCCAGTGTGTGAACACCGGCGCGGTCGCCGCTTCCGTACTGGTAGCCATGAACATTGATCCGGTCGATCTTGCTGAGTGCGCTACTGCCGATTGTCTTCAACGTGGTGGCAGCTTGATCGTAGTACGACTCATCTGAGGCGGCGATCTTTGTTGAGAGCCCACGATTCGAGAGCTGCGTGTCGAGATAACCGACGATCTTGGCTTGGGTGGACACATCAACGTGGCATCCTTCTTGAGTGCCGTCAGCCTTCCACCAGTTCGCACTCGGCTCGTTGAAAGGGTCCACAGTTTCGAATTCGACTCCCCAGTTATCCTTGAAATGCTTTGCGACCGTTGCCATGTAGACTGCATGCTGCTCCAAGTTCCACGATTGGATGTTTTCGCTTCCGTCACTTGCGCCCGAAGGATTGTGGTTCTTGGTCATCCTGAACAAGTCAATACGTCACGCACATTTTGTCCATGAGTTGTACCTACCACCACATCGGTGCGTTTGAGAACAACTCTGTTCTGTCTGCTCCACGTGCGATCGCTTTCTGAAGTGCTGCTCGCTGGTTGACATCAACCGTCCTGAAGCACAGACGGTGGTTAGTAAACAGCCTCGTGTCACACCGGGGAGGTAGATATCATACCAATTCCAGCTAGAAGAAGCAGGGTCGCTGCTCTTCCAGTCCAACCAGTAGCCTTCCATCTGCCTCGACCTTTTTACGTTTGGAGACACCACCATCTTCTCCCCATCGATGGTGTTCCAACTACAGGCGCCGGCGTTGTAGCGTACGATGTTGAAGCCAAGACCCGGAAGAGTCTCGCCGTTGAACTTGGTCTGCTTCAGCGTAAAGAAGATATCCGCAAGATCGTCTCTGGTGCCAAATTGCTGCGCCCACCATGCCAACGACGTTCCCCAGCCTTCCCAAGTACCCCAGTTCGATTTTGGGTCAATTGTGGTCGTCACATCGGCGTCAACTGAGTAACTGCTGGCCAGCACCACGGCCGCTCTGATGAAGGTCGATGTACGCATTGTAATGTGGTATTAGACGGAGCGGATGATGTTCTCTACATACTCTCATCGTCGCTCCCTTATTAAATATAGCAATCGACTCAATCTCGGCGCCTCATTCAGGTAACGCGCCCGCACACACCATCTTCTCACTAACTTCCACTTGGCTCTTGGATAATGCTGGAAGCGGGGTAGTCTATACACGATGTAGTGGTACTACCTCGGCGCTCGACCGTTTCCTTGCGGCGAAGCCTTAGACGACGAGCCACTCACAACATCCACATTAAGACTAAGACCCATCCGCGAATGAGGATGTTCAAAGAATCAAGGTTGCGCCGGCGCTTGGTAGAGTTCCAACGAACCGGATTACAGCCGGAGTTGCTCCGTCGACGAACTTTACGGTCGCAGTGGCAGCGGAAGATTTCGGCGTAGAGTTCTTCCGCATCAACATATGTTTTGCCTCACAATGACGGCAGTGGGACATATGCCGAAGCCATGCGACAGTAATAGTATGCACGTAACGATATTGGGTGTTGTATCCGCCATTAAGGTTCGGGTGTGGAGGCGGACGCTAAGGGGCTCGTCCCCACCATGTCACCCTTGCCACCGGATCACGAGTTGCGGAGTGGAGCATCTATCGGCCTGCGGAGTAAGTGGCACCCGCAGTAAATCAGATGATCTGATATTCTCACGGTCATAGTGTTCAAAAAGGCAGGTCTGATATACCTTGGTATAGTAGAAGCGTCACATAGAAGGCCATGTGTTCATTGGGCGGGTAAGTCCGCCTTGGGTGTTCATATTGCATCTACTCTACTACATTATACTATGATGCTTAAAACAGCTTTGCAGAGCCCAGCATTGCGCTGCCACCCTCGGTCGTGTTGCCGGAAACTGTACCGTTGGCATCTGCCTGGTTTAACCAAGCGGCCTTCAACGACCAAACACCAACACTAGCCGTTGCCGTCTCGTTCAATCCCGCCACCCTAAGCATCATCATGTCGAGCGGTTGCGTAGGGAAGAAGACTGCGGTCGCACCGAGTTCACCCTCATTCAGGAAGACTTCGATAATGCTCCTGTCAATGATACCCGAAATCTTCCATGAGCCCTGTCTATCGTCGTAAAGACCTGTGGCAGTGAACTTGTCATTGAAGTAAGGGCTCTGGAAAGCCTCAGTCTTTCCGCGGTCCAGCCAAACATCGCCAGATGAGAGGAAGGTTCCACCTGAGATCGACTCGCCGGAAACCGAAGACTGGAAGGTAAAGCTAATAGATCCCGCGAGCGAAGGGCCGCCAGTGAGTCCCGTGACATTGACTTCAAAGTAAAGTGCGCCCGACTCGACGGTGGAGTAGTCTACGAAGGCAGTACCGTTACTGGTGATTTCAGTGGAAGCGAGCTCCTCTTCTACGATCGACATGATGTTGGAGGGGTACGAGATCAAAGACAGACCCTGGCGAGGCAGATCTTTGAGATAATGGCCTCGGGGTACGGTCATGACGCTACGGAAGCCATCGCCGACTTTCTCACCAGCAGTGGGAACGACGTTGGTGTACTGCCAGTTGCTCGCCCAGTTAAGTGTAATCTGGTCTTCATCGGCGGGAACACCGTAGAAGAACTGACCGGCGTAGTTGTCCTTCGCGAAGTCCGTAAGGCGTGTTCGGGCGTCATCAGCTTCGAAATGCGTGCCGTTGAAGTCACCGACGAAGTACTCAGTGATAGATCCACCGAGAGGAGCTCCTGGGTTGATGGAAATCAACATAACATACTTGGACTCGTCGCTAGTGGAGTTCTGCACACGCATCTCAACCATGTTCGGGCACTCGTACTGCAGACCGGTAATGCCGTAGCTGGAGAAGTTGCTGGTAGGAGTCCAGTCGATCAAGTTAGGGCTTGTGAAGATGCCAATCTTGAAGTCGATGGGGTAAGCCACGACCATGACCCAGCTCTCAGTAGGCTCGTACCAGATGACTTTCGGGTCACGGAATTGAGTGGGGTTGGTTCCACCGGGAACAATGACAGGGTTGTTCTCGTACTTGGTGAAAGAGTATCCGTTGTCGTGGGAGTAGGCAATGTGCTGGGTCTGGTTCTCGGGAACATTGATGGTGTAGATCGCGACTACGCCGTTGGTCTGATTCGGGAAGAAGCCGCTGGTGTTGTTGTGATCGATGACGGCAGATCCTGAGAAAACGCCCTCGGTTGGACCACCGGGGAAGATGGCGATGGGCTGGTTTGTCCATGTGTACAGGTCTTTGCTGGTCGCGTGGCCCCAGTGTTGGTTTCCTGCGATGTTCTCGGTCGGGTTGTACTGATAATAAAGATGATAAACCCCGTCTTGGTCTACGTACATGCCGTTCGGATCGTTCATGAACCCAGCGGGCGGGCTGAAATGCACTTGAGGTCGAAGCGGCTCATCGTAGTCGCCTGAAATCGGGACCCCAGTCGGTACATTGGGTTGCGAGTACGTCGATGTGCTTGAGGCTGAAGGGGCTGACGAATTCTGGGCATGTCCAAACGTGAGCAGGCCACCGATGGCTGCGAGGACAGAGAGATGGGAAGGCATGGTGAGATGATTTCCGGTCCGATGCCGATCAATTAGAGATATACCGCCAGCTTTATGCTTCTCGAAGGACGGGATGCATCCGGGACTAGAGGGCAAATTTTCGCATCGGCTGTGATGACAAAACCAGATGTGGACGTGCCCCGCATGTCTTCCTCCATCTTACTCCGCTTGTCACCCCATGGGTACCAGCATTTTCGTATCCGTGTACTGTAGCCGGTGGGTGCATGATGAGGTTGAGCCGGCATCGAGGGAATTGGGCATATCGGAGCTTCCAAGTACGTACCTTCTCCGCAAAACCACTCAAAGACTACGCCGCACCTAGCTAGATTCAGGCCTGGGGTAAACGTGCGTTCTCGGTTGCCCAGGTTTACTTTTAAGCGTTGGGTTAGGATTGATGGGACCGATGTGCAATTGCGTCAACGGACGTGCTAGCGCGATGCGAAATCTTCCCGAGAAACATTCCATGCTCCGATCTTGTTCTGTCAGCAGCAGTAAATGAGGAGCGTCAGTGCGCCAAGACAGAATGTGCGGGAACAAGGCCATTAGAGCCTCAATTTTTTGTCCTAATGCTGGTGTTGTGGGAACTAATGTACTCGTACATGCCATGGCGACCAGCTCGAACGAAGACCAAGCCCCAGTCTGAGTCAAGAGCGCACTCCGTTCTTCAAATAGCGAGCGCAAAATCCCATACTTGTACTTTTCGTGTACCGAAAGGCCCACCTTGCCTGATGAAAAGGCTCAAGACGTTGAATTTATCCAGCCTCTCTTCGTCCACCAGCGGCTCACCAGCAGCGTTTGGTACCTCGGCCAACTTCTTCCAGTCGTTGTATGCTCCGGCGGCTGTCGCGGCCCAAATTTGCACGGTCATCTTCGGTTGATCTGGTAGGATCGCGAAGACGTTGTCGCCTACGGCGGCGATTTTACCTCGATAGGCAAGATATGGGGGCGTTGACAGACCGGGCGTCTTGATGGCGGTCTTGGAAAACTTGCCTTCTGGAGTCCGGAGATAGTGGTAGAATTGCGCTGTGCCTGTCGAGTTGTCGCGCATGAGGGCATGGAATCGGCCTTTCTGGTCAGCGCACTGGGCTTCTTGGTTGATGATCTGGCTGTTTTGCGGGATTGAATACACCTTAATGCCAGCGGTCGATGGCGTAATCGGCTTTGCTACAGTTTGACCATTAGTCTGTTTCCAACTCTTGCCATCATCCTCCGACAAGGCGAAGTAGAAGTCGTGGTTCGTCGAGGGAGTAGGTGTCTCCCTCACCGTCCACGAGACGAAGAGCTTTCCACCCTGGTTGCTGATGCCGTTGATGTATGCATTGTTGTCTTGACCTTGGAGGTATTTGCCGACCGCGCTCCACTGCCCAGATGTTGCAGAGTATCGATGTATGTACGAGTCACCGGCTCCAGACTGACCAATACGGAATTCCATCAGAAGATCGCCGTTGTCAAGGCGTTCGAACCGAGGGTATGTGAGCGGCGTCCATGGTCCGGTTGAGCCAGGCAGACTGTGCTGGACAGCTCCAAAGGCGCTGGCTGTCCACTGTTCGGGAATTGTTTTAGCGATGCCTGTGTTGCTCGCACGATAGTTGAGTGGTACGTCGTGATGATCGAAGCTCAGATGAATCTTGCCGTCGCCGCTAATGCCCATGCTGATAGTGTTGTGTTCATCAAGAGTCGTTTGCACATAGTCTGTGAACGCAAAGTACTGCCAATCACCCAGAGAAGGGTTGATTTTGCGCCGACCGAGGTTGACATGATGTTTGCCGTATCCCGAAGCTGTCTTGTAAAATGCGACGTATTGGTAGTCGCCAAAGGTGGTCAAGGCGTGTTGTTGGAAAGCAAGGCCATTGAGACGGACTGAACCCTCCACATCATTCGTGACGTTCCAGTTCTTAGTCGAAATGATGGAGATCGCGGAAGAGAGCGAAGAAAGCGTGACGCAGCACGCGAGTAACGAAGAGAAAAGTCTCATGATTCTTGGCTGAGCTCTAAAAGAAAGGCTATGCTCCAATTAAATACATGCCGGCTACCACATAATGAGAGCTGGCAATTAAAGACGCGGGTGAAATCATCTTAGTGTCCATTTCTGAACCGTGTGACCACATCGTGTCCCCTGAATTCTGGCTGGTTGATGGTATCTAGACTTGGTCGCCTGTGGAAGGTAATTCTTGCGGGTTGCATGGACCTGCATCGGCATTTCGGGCTATTGTCCCATAATGCGGGGAAGCTGGGGAGATGGCATGGTGTCACACGGTGCCGGAACATGATTGAAGCGAAACACTCATCAGAGATATAGCACCGCAAACAGGGAAAAGAATGAACAGATGCCTTGTAGTCTACATTAGTGTCGGATTGAGAATTGATATTACTCCAGCGCAAAGTAGACTTCCGGACCAGGAGGCAGGTAGTCATCCGTTTCTCCATACGTAGTGACAATCCTTTTTCAACACGATTGATGGGAAGCCTGAAACCAATTGGAGCCTCGGAGCCTTTTGTCGCGGCAGGGATGTTGGCTAAGCAGTCACCTGGTAGTTGGGTGCGCTGCACCGAGAATTGCAGTAACAGTTGTGTGTAACCAAAGTTCCAGAATGTATGTGAGATTCGAGCGAGGTAAAAGATTGTCTTCTTCCCACGCCTGCAGGTGCCACTGACGTGCGGCATGTTCCGCGACGCGTCCGATCGAATGCAAGCTCGTGTCGGAACCATTCCGAGCAGTCGGCGCCCTTCGCGTGTCACACCTCTCCAGCCACCTTCCAAGCCCTCATCACCAACGCGAAGCCCATGAGAAGCACTACCGTGCTCCATCAAGAGCCGCAGAAATGCCGTTCTTATGCGATAACGGCGCACTACACGCCTATCTCCGAGGAAAACGACACCAGAAACGGCAGGAGCAACTGCAGCCAAGGTCGATTCTCCTTGGCAAAGTACTCCAACCAGCGAAAAAGCGTCTTGACTGACGTAGCGCTATCATCCAAAGATGGGGGAGAGCCATACAAGAAGAGTGGTCATGCACAAATTGGTGCTCTGCGCGCATTTGACAGCCTCAGCTGAGACCGAACGAAGATGCGTATAGCTTCAATTGCGCTCTTCGCAGCGTCTGCGCTTGCGCAGTCTCAATACGGCGAGAACCATGTCAATGTAAACATTGACTCGCAGCTTGTGGAGCAGACGGCTTTCCCAGCGCCAGATGTGACCCTTCTGAGTCCCGCTTTCCTGCCAAACGCCTCGTTTGATCCGGGTTGGTCAGAGGGAACTGAAGGCGCGACATCGCAATACAAATTAGGTACGTGAACGATGGAGGATGAACCCAATCATAGCTATGGAAGCCTAACACTGGAAAGAGGAGTTCATCAGCAAGCTTGCAGCGAAGAATCCTTCATGGATGACCTACGACGTGGCCGACTTCCTGAGCGAAGAAGGCAAGACTTTCCCGTACGCCTACCTCTCTACCTCCGCATCGAACGCATCCTCTGGGTACACTACCTCTGGTAAATTGCGAGTATGGATTCAAGGATCAGTTCACGGGAACGAACCCGCTGGCGACGAAGCCACTCTGGCTCTTCTCGGTGCGATGGATGCCGACCCGACGTGGGCCGCCAGCTTCCTTGAGAAGATGGACATTATTGTGCTGCCGCGTTACAATCCAGACGGGAATGCCTACTTCCAGCGCACCTTGGCTACAAACTTCGACCCAAACCGCGACCACACCAAGCTTGCTCGACAGCAGACCCGCGACATCAAGCAATGGTTCAGCAGCTTTTCGCCACACATCGCTATTGATATGCATGAGTACGGGGCCGGGACACGATACTCTGGCAACTACAGCAACGCGGCCGACGGGATGTATAGCGCAGCCAAGAACCTCAACATCCATCCATCCATTCGCACACTCTCCGAGACCGTCTTTGCGCCCGCAATCAACGCGTCTCTCCTCTCCCGAGGTCTGCGCGGAGAGCCATACATGACGGCAGCGCGGACGAATCCGGTTCCACGGCTCGACGAAGCTGGTACTGATGCCAAGATTGGACGCAACGCCATGGGACTGACGCAGTGTGTAACCTTTCTCTTCGAGACTCGTGGAATTGGAATTGCAAGCCAGGAGTTCAAACGCCGAACCCTTGCTGGTTTACAGATGATCCTTGGTGTGCTTGAGACTGCTCGAGACGAAGCTGCGGACGTAAAGAAGACAATCGAGGGTGCTATTGCAGAGGTCGTCGAGAGCGAAGAGGAGATCGTCATCACAGACTTCACTACTTACTCGAACCGCACATATACTATGGTTGACCGTCGGACGGGCGAGGTTGTTCAACTTTCTGTTGAATTCGCTAGTACCACACCCGCAACTGCCAACATGACCCGCGCGCGGCCCGAAGGGTACATAATCCCTCGCGCGTGGGCTGACCTTGCCGAACGTCTTATGGTGTCAGGACTGGAGGTCGAAACCATGCCCGATGTTTTCCATGGAGAGGTCGAAGCATACAACATTACGTCCTCTAGCCTCGGTTCGTCATACTACGAAGGTGCCATCTTGAACACCGTTACAACGGAGACACTTGTTCAGGATGTTACGCTGCCCGCTGGCAGCTTCTTTGTAAGCAGTGCGCAAAAGAATGCAGGGCTAGCATTTGTCGCGCTAGAGCCTGAAAACATCGATTCATATGTCTCGTTTGGCATTGTACCTATGGAGGTCGGCGACGTTTATCCGATCTTCCGTCAGATGTAAAAGAGAAGTAATCTTGTTCTTATGCGATATATTTACTAGCCAAACCGACGGTCAAAAAGATTTAGTGGGATACGAATCATCTATGCACCTCATTTAAAAGAAAAAGTCTGAACACCCTAGAGTCTACGTCAACGTTAGGTCGCCTACATTCCATGTTTGTATCTTGATGTAGGCTGCAGGCATGCTTAGGCTTTTGCTTGTTGAAGGTGCATGGATTACCGAAAGCGAAATGTCGCTCTGTGACGTTTAGTCCCAGGGTTCAAGGTGGCCCGTGCATTGATCACATATGAAAAACCCATCTGATTCCACCCTCTTTCTACCTTACCTTCCAGTTCCTCTGAATCAGTCATGGCTTCATCCATGTCGAAATATCAGCGCAGTGACTACCCAGAAGCAGAACGCGTCTTTTATCCCACCGAGGCGGTGTGGGACGCAAAGAGACTCACAGATGGCGTCCGATACTTACACTTCGGTTCACAATTTCGCGTTGAACGGTAAGGACACGAGATGTGTGGCGAACAGTTACAGTCACTGATTATGGTTATAGGAAGCATATCCAAGCTATAGGGCAAAACACGAGGTCGCTCGAGGTGCTGCAGATGGATTGCACTGGCTCAGCCTTAGCCAACGCCGATGTCAAGTTTATCGCATCACGCAACACGCAACTCAGAGAAGTCCTTCTGCACAAGGCATCGAACATCAGCGACAAAGGCATTGTTGGAGTTCTTCAAAATTGTGCTTCGGTATCCATAATAAGGGTCTCCGGAACCGAGCATAAACCAGGACCTGTAGCTGGAAACTTCGCCGGGTTTCTCAACCAGCCAGACATTGTCAATTCGCGTACGAACCTCAGAGCTATCTATCTTGAAGACCAATCGACAGATGAGTTGGTGATCAAAGGTGTCTCCAAGAAATGGCGTAATCTCGTCATCTCCACCGCAACCATTGTGGGAGGCCGTGTGCAGTCGTGCTATTGGCTTGGGGGCAAGCGGTTGAAAGGGGGAGAAGAAAGGGCTATTGAACACATGGGATATCCGCTGCCAAACGTAGATGAAGATACAACATCACTAGGCAGGGGCTCATCGGAGCACGAACAGTCGAACGCCAACGCTTCGCGCCAAGCGCCCTCGAGATCCGTCCAGGCCGATGTTGACATGTCCGATATACCAGAAGGAAACAATTCCGACGACAGTGAAGCGGAGAGTGACGGCGAGGAAGAAGAAGAGGGTAGCGAACTCGAAGAAGACGAAGAAGAAGACGACGACGACGAAGACGACAACGGCAGCGAGTGGGAATCAGACGACAGTGATGATATTGATGACCCTGAGGAGGAGGCATACTTCCGTGACATATACCTCGGTCGTCGTACTGAACCAGTGTACGAACCGTACGAATCCGCTGACGTCCCACCTTCGAGGATGCTGTACTACGGTTCGAAGGAAGCCTGGGAGACTCGAGGGCTTGCCGACATCAAACGTACTGGTATCCAAAAGATACACTTCACCGATGACCTCTGCGTCACTGAGTAAGCTTTGCCAGATCTTCCGAACTTACACCGGATATGCTAACAGTACCCTTTAGCATACATTTCAACACTATAGCAGCTGCCTCTCCCGAATTTCGCAAATCCTTGCGCACCATTGGTTGCGGGAATGGGGCCGTTTCCGACGCAGCTGTGGCCAACCTCACGCGCGCCGTCCCATCTCTCAGGGATATCTACTTCAGCGAAACGCGCAGCCTCACCGACAATGCGATAACCTCCATCGTCAGGAACTGCCCCGGAATTGAGCGCATAGCTATATCCGGTGACGACAGGTCGTCGGGCAGCGTCAACTGCCGTGGTCTGGTAGATGTGCTGGCGGACACGACAGTTGCGAAGAAACTGAGGCATTTGGAACTATGGGATCAAAGACTCCATATGAAGAGCGTCAAGAAGATTTCGAAAGCGAGGCCAAGAATGGCTATCGTAGATGGTGAGACTGTGGGGGATAGTATGGCCGCGCAGATGGTTGCCGCGCAGACTGGTGGCGGGTATATGCATGTCTATCTTGGTGGGTATCCAGTAGATACCGGTGGTGGTTTTGGACCTGAAGACTTTGGATTAGACGGTCTTGAGTTCGAGGAGTTTGGATATGGAGGACATGGAGATTTCGATTCTGATGGCATGGATGATTACATGTAAAGTGGCAGATTGTCAGTGGTAGACAGCTCGCAGGATCAGCCCATAGAATCAAAAGATCCAACGCCTGTTAGAAGTCGATAACCTAGAAATATACATTGCCTTGGTGTTTAGTCAAATTCCCTTTGTTGGGCCGATGCAGACTGCAGATCACCTGTTGACTTCTTCATTGTAAGGAATAGGACTAAGATCTCGAAGTCGTCATGAGGCAGACTCAAACAAGCCACTCCCTCCACCACGTCACCGCCCTGTCCTTGGCCTTGATCATAGCCTCCCTTTCTCCCGGAACTTCCTCGTCGCCCTTGGTAAAACAGCCATGGTGAGCATCTGGGAAATGTACCCACTCAACCGCTTGGTTCTTCTTCTCCAAGACTAGCTTCTTGAACGCGTACAACCTCATCTCCTCGGGGAACATGCTATCATGTTCCGGCTGCAAGAACATGATTGGTACATCGACACCATCAAAATCCTCCTCGGTGAGCAAGGACGGATGAGCGCAGATGACACAATCGACCAACTTCTCAGTTGCGAGACGGAGAATGGCCCAGCCGCCCCAGCAGTAGCCCACTGCGCCAATCTTCTTGAAGCCATTGGCGCGGAGTTCTTTGGCGCATGCGAAGATTTCCGGTTCGCGGACCTCACGACTATTGCGCTTTTTGAAACCTTCGACATCCAATTTGTCGAACTTGCCTGCTTTGAGCAGGCCTACATCAAGTACCTCTCCACCAAAGAAGTCAGGAATGTAGACTGTGACGTTTGCCTAGAGTGTGTAGCACATTCGTTAGCATCATATCATGTTATTCAGATGAGGCTGGACGAACCTCTTTGGCAAAATGGTCTGCTAGAAGACGGGTGTTTCCGAATCTCCAGCCCAAGGCATCGTGGGCGATGAGGACGGCTGCGTTGGGGTTGGAGCCGGTAACGTAGGTTGGGTTGTTCGCGATTGTCGCCTCGTGGCCGCTTGGTGTACCGTCCCAGTCGAATGATTTGAGGCAGCACGGTTCAAAACCTCTTGGTGATGTCATGGTGTATGCTAGTTGTGTATTGAACGCTGACGGAGAAGAGGGGAAACGTGTGACGAGACTGAAGTTGCTTGACTTGGCGGGCTAGAGTTGATTCGCCCATGATGTCTACTCTTATATTCTGTCCATGCCTAAGGCGTCCCGTCAAACTGAGACTTCCTGGGCACGTCAACCTCTGAAAACGATGAACACCCTGGAACCTACGTTGACGTAAGGTTACCCACTTTGTATGTTTCTATCTCAATGTAGTCTACAGACCTGTTCGGCTTTACCTTATACGAGGTGTGGGTATGCATTTCCAACGTCAACATCGCCATGATGATGGACTTATCGCCAGGATGAGGACGGAGTTATCGCTGGCTGGGCGCGAATCAACCTCGGTGGTATTCCGGAGCGGAAGGTGATCTCGCTGCGATGCCGATACCGTGAAAACGGACGAACATCAAGGCGCGCGAAGATCCGTTTGATTAGTAAACGAGGTTATGGGAGCTCGCGGCGTTCGGAGTTAAGCATGCGATTTACGGACGATGAATTGAACGGCAGTGACTATTCTCGTTGCTGTACGAGTACAGATGCATGCTATATCGAAAATGGATCGCGGGGGTCGTTTGCGTACATCGACGCAGAGAATCGTACATCATACACATGTAGAAGAGTAAAGAAAACGCCTGTTGAAAGGCCTATGCGTCTAGTGATGCAACACAATAGCCCGCCCACCTAATGGAAGTGATGAACTTCTCATCCAAACGCCGGTCCCATATAACGCCAATGCAGAAAGTCGTGCAACGATAGCACATGATGCGACGAGTAAGGCCGCCTGGCACCCCAACTATGCGCCGAAGCATCTCTGATCCAATATCATGTCTACCGCCTGTTGATGAGATTCAGGAATTCCTGGCGCGTCTTGTCCCTTGATCGCATACATCCGAGCATGCAGCTTGTAGTTGTTGTAGCACCTGTCTTCTGCACGCCGCGCATGACCATGCACAAGTGACTTGATTCGACCACTACGGCGACACCTTGTGGTTGAAGCATCTCGGAAAGGGCGAGCGCCACTTGTTTGGTGAGACGTTCTTGGACCTGTAAGCGACGAGCAAACATCTCAGCGATGCGAGCCAGTTTGGAGAGGCCGATGACGCGACGGTTCGGAATGTAGCCGATATGCATCTACAGAGAGGTCAGTAAACATTCCTTAGGACAGATACAACAGGACAAAGGACTTACCTTGCCCATAAAGGGGACCAGATGGTGCTCGCAGAGGGAGAAGATCTCGATATCTCTCACAATGACGAGCTCATCGTGGTCCTCGTGGAAGACAGCACCGTTGACGATGTCGCGCAAGTTCTCTTCATAGCCCTTGGTGAAGAAGAGTAAGGCCTTAGCATAGCGCTCGGGTGTGTCCAACAGTCCCTCGCGGTCTGGGTCTTCGCCCAGACACTCAAGCATCGTTCGGACAGCACCAGACAGCTTCTTCAGATTGGCTTCCTTCTCCTCCTCGGTCGCCTCCTTCCTCTCCCGCGTGCCCTTGCTGGGCCAGCTAAGCCCATCGAAGTCGATGGTGGGATGCTGTGTGTATGGGCTATGGGCGCGACTGGTCGCAAGTGGTGTTTGGGCAACGGCGCCCTCGTAAGGGTCTTCGGCGTCTACCTGGCCGTTCGCCATGACATGTCGGTTGTCAGTGTGCATGTTCGCGACCGAAGCCTTCGTGGGGAAATAGCTAGTCGGCCCGTCAAAGTTTACTGGCTGGCGCCCTCGGTTGGAAGTCTCTATAGCATTGAAGAGGTGCTCGCGCTCTTTCCTGTCGCGCGCCTCGGTGGTGAGCCTGAGGGGTGATCCGCCGTTCATCATGTGGGAGGGAACCGCGGATTTGGGCTTGGGGGTGTCGGCGTCCATAATCGCGGGGAATTCGTCGGGACTTTTTTAGTGGGGAAGGGACTTTTCAGACTGAGGAAGCAGCAAACTAGAGATGAGAGGATGACACAATGCCCAGGGAAACATGTTTGGCCTGGCGCATGCTTTCCGCAGGAGAATAGTTCGGAGCCCGGTCAGTATGACTACAAGGGAATAACTTATTCCTGCGCCGTCGAATGCGGATTAGCGTTCCAACCTAGCAATGACGCCACACCTCGTCGCGCTCTGACCAGGTGGACACGTGACAAGCGGGCAGCCGACCAGCAGGAGAGCTGCGACACTACCACGACCCTTCGCTACCCGACGCTTCATCATCAACACACGCCGCCCCGACCACGCATGGCATCGACCATACCACCAGCGCTCGGCTCGACATTCACGATTTCTAGCGATGATGCGAACGGGTGACAGACCGCCGTGACGGGGCCCGAGGGCTTTCCTTCGGTCCCCGCAGCTTCACCTGAGCAGAACAGCAAACGGCGCTTCCGCTTCAGCGCCGCCCATCTCCCTGCTCGACCCACTGCGCATATCATAGCGTGGCATTACATGATGATGCGATGTGCATCGAGGGAGGATTGGTCATCTACTGGCGATGACAGAGAAGGGCAAAGGGTCACCAAGTTACCACGGCCTTGCTTGGGCATCGTTCTACCGCCCTCGCGCAGTCGCGTACTAATCACGCATCGTGCACTATTCTTAACATATACTGTGGCTACCCTGCGTTGGGCAAAGGCAGTGTCTCCTCTACTTATCGTTACAACTCCCAGTTCCCAGCCCCGGCCAGGGCTACAATCGCCATACGACTGCCGCTCAATTGCGACATGCTCCGGGCGCTGTCGAGAGTATGTCCAGATTCATATGGCTGCTCGTCTTTGGTGACCGTTCCAGGACGGCAAGTGAGCCTGGTTCACATATTGTGGCTCTTCTGTCTGGCGCCGTGCCATACCTTGCATCCAGGTCTGGCAGCTCTAGGCTATCGGGTGTATCGACTGCGCCCCCAACATGGGAAGTACACCATCTTTCCTCCCTTGCGGAGCGCGAGCTTTCGCATGCCGATCGTGGTAACGTGAGAAGCCCAACGTCAAGATGATCGCGGCGAGCTCAACATAACTACAAAAGTATCGCATCACCTTTCTGGATCGGCCCAACCCCCGATAACGGGATATCTCGACTTATTGGTGTTTGAAAATATCGCCGTGCCCGAGTTGCCATGGCCTGATATTGAGGATTACTTCTCCACAGCTTCGGTCGTCAGGGGTTGTCTTTAGTAGGGTGGTGGGGTCTTGCTTCGCATGCGTTATGTAGATGTCGTGAAGCCATATGGCACACCTGGTGGACTGCAACATGATCTCCAAAATCTGAAGATGCGGAAGGGACAAACCGAGATGAAATCTGGGAGCAGGCTGGAGTCTTGGGCGCCAGGGAGGGGTTTCCATGCACACTCGATGAGGGCGACTTGTCACGGGGCTTGGCGTTGTCGATAGCGGCAGGCGAAAGACCGACGAGCGAGAAGGCGCTGCATGCGCAGCGTCTGCGGCCACGACAGCAACATCGAAAGCGCATCAACGGCAGCGCATTGAGGAGTGTGTTACAGTCGCAGCCGATTCTCTTGTTGTTTCTCGCTTTCATTACTACTGCTTCGTAAGGCTGAGAGCAGGGTGCCGGACTTTCTTGTTGTTCGGTTAGGCCGTGGCACTTTGACCCGCGGACCTCTTGATGCTGCAACCTTGCGCCTTCTGATGCCCTTCCTGCCTCTATGGCTGCCCTGCGACGGGCTCAGGATATAGACCAGTGGAGACCAGAGGACTCGTCTAGTAGGGACAGAGAGCGATCTAGGGACCGGTCACGGGAGAGGAACAACGAGGGCAGAACATCGTCACCAGTGCCACGAGCTGCCAGAGATTCTCCCAGACACCGCGCACACGACACCCACACGCATTCATCGGCCAGACACGCACGGGGACGTTCACGCGAAAGAAGTTTGAGCAGAGAGCGCGCGCGTCGGCGCAGTCGCAGCATCTCTGGGGAGGACCGCCATCGAGCTTCGAAGAGGGAAGCCAGCGCAGACAGGGTTGCCCACTCGCATCGGCATCACCACCACCATCGCGACACAACTCCATCGTCGAAACGCCACCACCCGCGTTCTCCATCTCCACGAGGCTCCTCCAAGCGCGTGAAACGGCAGGGCAGTCGCAGCCCAATACGCTCTGCATCGAGGCCACGACGTGCACTTTCGCCGGACCGGCCTGCTGCGAGGGCATACTCCCCACGAGCTCAGCGTTCCGACCGCGATCGACCACCTCGACGAACCACGCCCGACACGTATTTCCCGTCCACCTCGACTCGCCGCCGGTCGCCCTCTGCCGATACACACTACAGACCTGTGGCTCATCGTGCACGGAAAAGATCAGTTTCACTCGACAGGAGATCTAGGCGTGGAACACCGCCTCGGAGACTGTCGCCTAGGAGAACTGATCGAAGACCTATTTCACCCTTCGACAACCGCGGTGAACGGTCCTACAAGCCCTATACTACTCGCGACAGGGCAAGGAGTCGCAGTCGAGATTCCAGACGTGCTCGATCTCCCTCTCGTCCGCCCCGGAGGCGATCTCCAGGCCCAGTTCGCAGGAATTCGCCGCCCCATACCCACCGAGCCAGACTATCACCGCGCAGAAGTCGTTCGCCCCGCCCGCCCATTCGACGCCGTCCATCCCGCTCGCCCTCTCTTACATCGAGGCCGCGTCAACGCCTGGATAAAGGAACAGACAGGGTCGCCTCACGTCGAGGCTCGCCCGCGCCGGGATCAGGTTACAACTCTGACACATCCAAAAGTCGGGAAGACCACGGCAAGATGAGGGGAGCGTATCACTACCAGGGACGTGGTGGCTTCCAGCAATCACCACCGTACCCTGCCCAAAATCAATATTCCCCCCAAAATCAATCGCCATATCATGGCGGCGGTCGAGGCGGTTGGAATGGTCCACCGTATCCTAATCAAGGGTTAGTTTCCATCCCATCGGCCTTCGGTCATCCACATGCTGACATCATCAGGTCTCCCACACATGGCTATACCCCAAATCAATCTCCTTACCATCAGAACCAATCTCCAGGTTACTACCCAAACCAACCGTACCCACAACCTGGCTTCCAGAACAGCCCCCATCGCGGAGGACATGGCGGCTACCGCGGCAACAACTTCAACGGCCCCGACCGCCGAATGTCAGGTCCTGGCGCAAACGCACCGTTTGGCGGTCCAGGCGGACGAGGGCGTGGCGCGCCTACCCAATTCTCCAACTTGTCATGGACGCCAGCGTCGGGCACTCGAGGCGGCCGCCCAGCCACTGAAGCGCCACGCCCACAGCCCGCTGTCGCGTCGCAAGTACCTGCCGACTCTGCATCTGTGGATGCTGATGACAACCCCTTCCGCCCATCCAAAGATCTGCGTGTAGAAGACGAGGGTTCCAAAGAGGACAAGAGGATGGCACCTTCAAAGGCACCGACAGCACCCAAGTCAGGATTTGGCTTTTCGTTGAAGACCAAGAATCCTGTGCCACCAGCGAGCAAAGCAAAGCCTGGAGTGGAAGAGCCTGAGAAGCCTGCGCCTGCTTCCAAAGAGTCTCTTCTTGACCCCAAAGCAAAGGCGGCAGCGGCAGCGGCAGCGGCACGTGAAGCTTCCCCGCGTCACTCAGAAGCACGAAGCGATCGGGATCGGGACGCGAGGGACAGAGGTTACGACAGTGGCCGCGACCGAGACAACAGGGAACGAGATCGTCGATATGACAACTACTACGATCGAAAACCTGCCTATCGAGACCCTCGCGATAGAGACACTCGAGATCTACGAGACACGCGTGAGCCCTACTATCGCGGCAAAGAGCGAGATTTCCGAGACCCACGAGACAGAGATATGCGAGATCCGAGAGATGCACGAGACCCGCGCGATACCCGTGACCGCGATCCCAGAGATATGCGCGATCCGAGAGATCGTAGAGAACCATACCCACCCCGACGACCTGACGATAGACGATTCGACCCACGGCCTGACACACGACCAGTGCGAAAGTCACCACCCCCTCAGATACCCAAGACTAAGATCGTTATGAGGAAGCGCATGAAACCTCGGCCTACGCTGGTCCCTGAACATGCAGCTTCAGAGTCTGTATATTACCGGAAGCCCGGTAACGAATCGGTGGTTGGATCCGGCACCTACGGAAAGGTCTTCAAGGGAGTCCATGTCTATACGAAGGATATGGTAGCTCTCAAGAAGATTCGTATGGAGGGCGAACGCGATGGCGTAAGAACACCCAGTGCTAGGCAGTGACATAACGCTAACAACTACCAGTTCCCCGTTACGGCCATCCGTGAGGTCAAACTTCTGCAATCTCTTAATCACGCCAACATCGTTAATCTCCGAGAAGTCATGGTTGAGAAGAACGACTGCTATATGGTTTTCGAATACCTTTCCCACGATCTTACCGGTCTTTTGAACCACCCGACCTTCAAGCTCGAACAAGCACACAAGAAGGACCTGGCCAAACAGCTCTTTGAAGGCCTGGATTACCTCCACCGCCGCGGCGTTTTACATCGAGACATTAAGGCTGCGAACATCCTTGTATCCAATACCGGACAATTGAAACTGGCAGATTTCGGTCTTGCACGTTTCTACGCGAAAAGCAGTAAGCTCGACTACACCAACCGGGTCATTACCATCTGGTATCGATCACCGGAGCTGTTGCTGGGAGAAACACAGTATGGGCCAGCAGTCGACATCTGGTCGGCTGCCTGCGTACTGGTCGAGATCTTTACCCGGCACGCTATCTTCCCTGGCGATGGCGGCGAGATCAATCAGCTGGACAAAATTTACAACATACTCGGCACGCCCACTGTGCAGGATTGGCCTGGCATTGTCGACATGCAGTGGTTTGAACTGCTACGGCCAACCGAGCGAAAACAGTCGACTTTTGAGGAGAAGTACAAGGACCGTGTTAGTCCTATGGCTTTTGAGCTTCTCCAGGCAATGTTCCTGTTCGATCCCAATGCGCGACCCACCGCCGCCGACGTGCTCGAGCATCCTTTCTTCACGAGCGAAGCCCCGCCACCAAAACGTGCCGACGCGCTGAAGGAGCTGGAGGGTGACTGGCACGAGTTCGAGAGCAAGGCTCTTCGGAAAGAAAAGGAGAAGCAGGACAAGGAGGCGCGGCGTGTTGCGCGGGAAGAGAAGGATACTGCAAGGAAGGACGAGGGTAAAAGACGGGCCGAGGCAAATGCTGGCGAGGAAAGGGACGCGAAGCGAGCGAAGAGCGGTGATGTTACGGCGTAGAATGCTGGAACTTCTCAACCGAAGCCGCGACGGCGCAGCTAATTAGATGGCATAATATTTGTATGTATAGAGGTATGTTCGTTCTTCGCGCGACTTTTGGAATGCAACTACATGTATATCCACACCACTTCTTGACAACTGAAGAAGTCTGTTTTCATCTGGGAAGTCTACTGACGTCCTACTGTGACATCGAATGGCATTTTCCTAGTACATCGGCACGTACTTTACACCCTGCTCCATGCACTCTCTCTTATACTGCACCAATTCGTCGGCCTTCATGTCGTCATCCTCTATCTCACGGCCATCAGCCAGATCCTCAGTGCTTGCCTCATTCCAGAAATCCATAGCATCTAGTCTCTTCCCACACTTCCAGCCGTATGCCAACCCTCCGTTCGAGATAGCTTGCACTGTCTGTACTTCCTGACTCTGCCAATCCCAAGTGCGCAAGCAACCCAAGATGTGTAATTTCGGTCTTATCTTTGAGAGTAACTTGGCGCCCTTGTGATCGAATACAGCATTCGAAATGTGCAAGTATCGTAGCCTCCTGGCATTTTTCTCGTCTCGAAACGCTTGAAGAAGCCCAGGACTACGAAGAGTGATCCAGCTATTCCCTGCTGGATTGCCATCCTCAGACCATGCGAACGTAATCTTGCGAATGTTCGGGCAGTGGTTGACAACATGGGCTAGACCTTTGTCGGAAACAAAGGACGGGTTCAAAAGTGAAAGCTCTTCGAGTTTGGGGTTGAATCTGGCCAGTGCTGAGACGCCTGAATCAAATAGAGATTTGGCGTTGAAGACAAACATCGTCAACACAGATCCACCCAAGAGTACGGCGAGGTCCTTCATGTGAGATCTGCGACTGGTGTTACTCAAAGGGATTTGATGCAGAGCGGTCTGGCAACTTACTCTGTCGCCTCGAAATTAGGCCCGAAGAACACACATTGCTTTTGGATACTGGGCCGTTTCTCGCACCAATGGTAAGCCCACCACTCCTCGTCCATGAACGCGATTTCTTTCTCGAATGGATACTTTCTCTGCCTGTACTTCACCCACACATTTTGCGCGAGATTTGGACTGAGTGGAGCTCTTGGGGGTCCTTCGTCATCGGAAGAGTCCTCCTCATCAATGAGCGATGCGACGCCAGCACTGCTTTCGCTATCGTATGCTTCATCAACATCCGATAAAACTGGGTCATCCTGTACGGGCTGAGGTGCCAACGCGGGGAGCACTGGGGGATTAATTTCGTGGTTATCATTGTTGCCGCTGTCGTGTACTTCTGTAGCCAAGATTTCGGGTACCGGGGCGCCTGCTTCATTCTCCTCTGGGTGCCTGTCTTCATCGCTTACTCTTTCTGCTTCTACTTCGTAGGCATGATCTTCTATCGGTGCTTCAATTCTAGGTTGTTTGTATGGCTGATGGGAATCAAATGATTCGGGAAACGAATTCTTCCGCTTCAAGATTGCGTGGCATGGAACATTTTGCTGTACTTGGTACGGAGCCTGCATATGGGTCGGCAAACGCTTTTGAAATGGCATCTCAGTTTGACATACCGCTGGGTAGTAAGATTCTGGCATGTGATACGGTACAGGCACAGGATACGGAACCGGGACATATTGCGGGACCGCCACTTGCTGGTTAGCGAGCAGCGTCCATATTGGAGGTAGGGGTAGAGCTGGTAGGACCCGTAGAGACTGTGGAGTGTATGGGCTCTCGGGGCCAAGGTGCATCTGCGGATGCATGGTGTGCGGTGGCGGATTCATTCTCGGTTTGCGAAAGTTGGATTTAAGGGAATACGAGAGCAGAAGTGCGCACTGCTAGCCTAGATACTCGTCTCTCGTGTCAAAAATGCTGCCGCAACCTTGGGGTGTTCCTGAGGTTTACAATGTGTTCCGGATTTCGATGAGCGATCATGCGACCAGGGTCAGCTTTGACGGCTGCAGAGCCACCACTTTCCCTCCGCATCGAAGATAGCTAGGTATGAGCTAGGTTCACGGTGCGTGTAGTCGTCCCTTGCAGTTGCAATAACGATGCCAGTTATCAGTGCAAACAATCCATAGATCATGGAACAAATGTTGTGGCGTCATAAGCTCTACTTGGGCATGTCCAGCGATTGCGGTGTGTCTAGATAGCGACCAGGCTGAAACACGTCGCGGACGATCCGACTCGTGCATGCTGGCGCAGCACGCCCAGCATGAAAACCCGGGAACTCAATCTCTTTTATCACGCAAATCATGAACGCAACGGATGTTAGTTGCAATATTTGTCGCGACAACACCGCTTAGTTTTGTGACATACAATGTGCGTGGCTTCGTCGAATACAATAACAGCAGCATACAATGTACACCTAGAGCTATACATGGATCTCTACGCAATCCCAGACCGGCTTCCTTGGATCGCCAACGTCGTTCCTACGGTATGACTTAAGGCCACTTATCCAAGAATAATAGTACGGCTTCCTCTTGAAGAACTGGTATCTGTTTCGCTGATTCAGCTGATTCAACGCGTGTTCAGCGTCGCATGCTGGGCCGAACCAGTGTTCCTCCATCGATGATCTTTCAATGCGAAATATTGGGATCGTGAGGCTGAGTGCATACGCAATAGCAGGCGGATAACTCGGGCTTTCGTCCAACCGTGAGAGCAAAGGCATAAATGAACGGGGCCAACGGTTTTCCTGGTTCAAAAGCGTGCGTTCGAGAATCCAGACTCGACAGACGAGTGGATTTGGACGTTCAGATTCGCGCGCTATGCGGATGCGACGGAGGTTGGAGGATCGCTTCAACAGGTGAAGTATCGAAGTGTTGGTGAGCAAACGAGCATTGTACAGGACTATGTCTTTGAGTGCACGAAATCCGCGAGTGATGGCGAGAATGCCGCGGTCGGTGAGCATGCTGGTATTATCACAGCGTATCACGAAGACGCTGCTGATCATCTTGTCGTCCACGGAAGCTGTCGCCGCGATACATCGGATGACTTCACTAGATTTGAAAAGGCAATTAGTACTGCTTCACTCACGAAGACTTGAGCATTTGAATACATACTCGGTAACAGGAAAGTCAGGTCCAAAGTGCAATAGTTCAATGCCTTCACCACATCCAGTCTCCCACCATGAATCTTTCCAGTCTGCTTCACTCCAAAAATGTAACGTTCTCAAATCTTGATATCCCCGGTGGGGTGACACTTCGTTCCCGCTTCCGCTATCGTAGCCTTTATCTCTTCCCGAGATAGAAGCCTCGTTTTCGCTAGCGCTGGGTGCATCGTCAAATACCGCGGTTGTTGTCTCGGTTCGGCCCTCACGAGCTTCTTGGGAATACCTTCTAGATTCTTGATCGACAATCGCTGCTGCATGTGGTGCGTTGTTTACAGGCAGGGGCGCAAAGTCCGGGTAAACCGCAGGAGCTGCAGTCCTGTTAATCTTGTGCAGAGCTGGATCGGACCGCACTGGACCCGCCCTATTTCGTTTCAGCACCGGATTTTCTTCCAAGAATATAGCATCCTCGTTGGAACCGACCCCATAGACTTCTTCGCTGCGTACTCGTTCGGCAGTCGCTGCATACTCATCGATCCTGGGCAACTTTGGTCCGGTAGCACCTGGGTACTCTGCGTCTTCGCATTTCCGTTTTAATGTGTGCGTATCCGCTGCATGGCTGTGGTGTTGTGCTGGTTCTTGCGGCGCTTGAGGTTGCTTGGGAACATCGCGAGCTAGTGGGTGTGGATAGCAGACTCCGGAGTTCCAGTTGTACACTCCAAATCCAGGAATGTTTAGGGAGCAAGCAATATAGTAACCGTTGGGAGCGTGAAAAGTGTCCGGGGTACTACAAGGGTGTGGCTCGCCATTGCAGCACAAGGCATGGGCGGTTTGTAGTTCACCACAGACGGGATGAAGCGTGTATTGGGCCACAAGACAATCTCGAGGACTCGAAAGATGAAGAGGGGGATGAATCAAGTGTTCTTCCTCAGGAAGGCGTGGTATAGACCTTTGCCAGTGGAGCTGCAGGTGAGAGTTTTGGGTGCTCATATCGCGTTGTGGGTAGCGGGAGAAAAGATGATGGAACGAGGTATGAGAGCGTGATTATGGATGATTTAAACTCCCTTGGTGTAGAGGTCGCTTGATCTTTCAGCCGCTCCCTGAGTTCGACAAGTGTCTCACAAGCAAACCTTGGAATGCGTCTGGCCTTCGAGATTTCACGGTTCATAGATTCTCTCGAACAGCTCTCGGCAAGCTTTGTGCCCCTGGTGGCGAAAAGACCCACGGTTTGCGCGTCGTGCGTGGGGCATGTCTAGAACAGAACTTTCAATCATCATAACAGAGCAAAGGCGTATTGGGTGGATGAACATCGCGATAGCTGGTGTCTTCTCAACACTGAAAGCGAGATATCGCTGTGATTTTGTCCTGAACCTCAAGTGTCGCAAGGCCGGGTTGATGAGACGAGACCTCGGAAGACAGCCTGCATGAAGGCTGTCACGCTAACAGAAAAAGCGACTAGCCCAAATCCCCCCACACCTCCCACAGCACCAACCTCGTATCGTGATAGTAATTTCATAGACCACTCAATCATGTCGTCCATCAAGGTTCCGGGACTGCTCGCCGTGAGAAGTCTGGGATGGCGTAGCGTCAATGTCAGCTGCAATGGTCGACGTTCGGCTGAATGCGGCGTAGTGCGGAAGCTCCTTTCCCGTATTTAGCCTTTCCTAGCGGACCCAAGCCCGGAAAATGCCAGACTATCCATGGAACTAGAAGGTTTTTGCTTCTGTCCACGCGTTATCATGATCCTTCGAGACTGCTAAAAAGATTCTCCCGTCGCACACATACCCACCGCTTGTACCCTGCCCCGGTGTGGCTGATTCACATCACACTCGTTTCCATTACCTCTTTGGGCGCGTGGGCAGCTCGATTGGGGAGACGCAACAACGATGGTATCGTGGCGGCCGGAGACGAGATTGGAATGGTTTTTCTTTGGCACTACGACAGTTCAGGCGATTACAAATATTACGATACAGACGTTCGTATTTCCCCGCATAACTCACTCGCTAGATGAACTGTCTAACTAGGCCTAGAGTCATTCTTGTCACATACTTGAATTGGGTAAACTCGGTTGCATACCAGGTTCCGATATCTTATGTCATCCCTCTGACCTTGTGTGTCAATTCATTGGGATGTCTCTTCCAGATCATCTTGACACTTGACGCATACCGGATCAAGAACCACATCCAGGTGTTCGTTCAATGCGCCGCCAACATATGCCTTTCAATCTCGACGGTTCTTCAATATGGCGAGACTAGACATGCAGTATCTAGGATTCTCGTTAATCACGACATGTACGGCACTCCATTCGCAGATGTTGATTGGCCTTTCTGGAAGAAGATCTCACCTGGCTTGATGGTCTGTACCGTGGTCACATGTGTCAGTAGTGCCATTATGTGCCTGTTAGCGAGGGGCCTATACCGTGAGTTCTCTTGGGCTTTATACCAGCATGTCAGCCCTGACAAGAAGATACAAACAAAATACGCTGTCTACCAGGTAAGACTTGCGTCATCTTCTTTCCTGACCATACTCACACAAGCACAGATTTACCTCGTGCTTCTCAAGTTCACACCCTACTTCGTCTTCGCGTTCATAATCTTCTACGATTTCATCGACGTCCATTTCAAGGAGCCCGAGTTCTCATTGACGATCTCAATCATCCCGGCTACTCTTGTACATGTGGCCATCGCGGTATATTTTGTCCGGCATGAGCGTCGCATTGGAATGGCGTTTGTTTTGGTAGGTCGCTCAACCTCGAAAGGACTGGCACGCGCTAACGCCCCACCTCACAGCTTCTCCATGCCGCAAATATCGCATACCTGATCAGCAGACTCCTCGTTCTCTACGGGCACTCATTACTTGCTGATACTCTATTAAAGGATGAGATGGTTTTCTATCTCTGCGTAGGGGTGGTCTTCTCGACGAGTGCTCTCCTGGCCGGCTGCGTTTGCTTCTACAACTTCAAGAAAGGGCTCCGGCCAATCCTGTTGGGTCAGGTGCAACGAAAACCTCGAGCGCACGAGCTTGAGGACGACTATTATGTACAGCGACTGAACTACAACGTGGTGCCGTTGGCCGACCGCGACTCACAAAGATTTGCGTTGGATTAACAAGTATGAGAATCGATAGTACCTAATGTAATGACTTTTTTTCTGGATCTAGCCGCGCGCTAAGCCCTGCTTCCTGGCACGATCTCTGGTCGTGTCTGATGTCCACGTATAATTTTCAGATTTGCTCGCAATTTTTCGCAGGCTTCCACGTTCTTGTCTTCCACCAGCTGATCTACGAGTACCAAGTTACGAAGACGTTGGGCCTTGTTCTCATTTGCAATCAATATCGCGTCGAGGTTACGCAAAGTCACACCACCAGATCGTCTCGTGAGTACATCCCCACATACTTCAATGTATTCAATGGCCGGACAGAACTCGATAAGACTCATGATGGATTGGTCACCAATACTTGGGGCCAAGTCGATTTGCACCTGTGTTAACTGCGCCATATTCGCGGCGAGGTTGGTAATAGACTGGTCGTCTAGCAGGGCACCGTTGCCCACGCGGATCGCGAGAATAGATGAACTAAATGCTGCTGGTGACCAAGCTAGCAGATTGATGTCGGCACTGTTTAGGTTTAGTATGCTAATAATAAACTCAATGACAGACGAAGACAACTTACACTGTGACAGCAAAGCTTGGTCCGAAAATGACCATGCGTATGCCTGTGCGACGCTGTGCCCTCTGCCATCGTCGCTCCCAATCCTGAGGACTGCTAAATCTGAGTGTGACAGAACCCGGAAACTCGAGGGGTGGAATGGGTGTGCGTGGATAATACGTTTTGACAACATTAGAGCGTTCGATGTCGTTCCCCAAGCGTGCGGCATCTTGTGCATGTATTCTACTTTCGCTTTTGACCCCGTTGCAAAGCTCATCTTTGGAATCCGCCTCACTGCGGTCGCTCGGTTGTCTTTCGTCTTGGATATGAGTTCCACTCGCGATGCGCATGTCATTATCCTCATCGGCAGATATCGATGCCGATTTTCTTGGTAAACTTCTCGCTACACTAGGGCGGCTTTCTTGTTTTATCGTTGCTCCTGTGTTCCGCTCCACAGGGGCCCAATATCTGGATTCTGTATTGAGGATCTCTTGGTCTGCAATCTGTGCAATCCTTTCGGCTTTGATTGAGGGACGCGCCTCTTCCTCGTTTTGATATCTTTCATCGTCGTCCTCCTCCCCTTCCCCGCCGGTCTCTTCTGGGGAGCAATCTTCTTCATTCGAATGCTCTTCTCCGGTCTCTTCTTCGAGCTCATCTGCTTCTGATTCTTCCTCCTCTAAGATATCTTCCTCTTCCTCGAGTTCATCTGCTTCTGAGTCTCCCTCTTCATAACTACCTAGACGTCTAGTATCAAGATCCTCCAGACCGTCATCGCCAGAGCCCTCTGCCTCAGAACAGCTCTCTTCTGGTCCAGTTTCTTCTGACCCAGTCTCTTCTGATCCAGTCTCTTCTGATCTAGTCTCTTCTGTATCACTGTGCGCAGAATTGACTAGAAGTCTAGCGATATCTCGCTCTCGTCGAAATTGATCTAGTGGTGTGCCATTTTCCTCCAGCTCCCGTTCCAATTCATGAATTTTCTGTCGAAGCCGTTGAAGCATTTCATTTTGAAGTTGTATCGCAAGCTGTTTCAAGTCATCCAGCCTCGCCTGCTCTCTGCGCACCAATGCTACCCAGTCTATGCCTACGACATGCCCTCTGCGCCACTTAGTTGCGATATGTTCCGCGCCTGGTATATTGACACCAGCGTTGGACAGCGCCTCAGCTACAGCAGGAGTAAGCGCAATGCTTTGCCGAATCTCTAGTCCGTGTCTTTTTTCGGTGACGCTTCTCATTCGAGCTTCTTCGATGGGTTGATTGTCTAGCCGCAATTCATTCAGCAACGGCCATTCGCGCTGATTTTCCCGCATGTTCATAAAATCAACGAAATAGCCTTTGATACACCCATTTGTGCTAGGCAAGCCGTGAATTCCAACAAACACGACAGATCGACAGTGTTTTAGAATGGCGATAAGTGCCTTGTCTGTCAAATTTGGTGCATATAAGTTGATATCGAGTAGGAGGTGATTCCGTGCAACAATCGCGCGCACGTCGCCGTCTGAGAGATTGCCTTCCCTGTCGCTCAACCAAAGGCGTTTCAGAAAGCCGGTATGAAGCTTTAGCGAATTCTTCATAGAGCTAATGAAGCTGTGAGTCATGGCTTTCAGGCAATGGACTTCTTCGTCGTCTGAACATACCGTGATATCAGAATGTCGCACGTCAGAAAAACATCATACACTCGGCCTCGCAGCAGTTTCTCTCTCTCTTTTATCCAATGCCATTTATCTGCACTATCACATGCTACGCGCTGGTTCTCAGGTAGTAGTAGCCAATATTTGCGAGTTGCTTCTAACGACATTGTTTGGTGTTGGTAAGTGCGTGGCTTCGAAGGTGTGATGTGGGGGCAGGTCAGACAGTGGGGCCCGGTTGTGTTGCTTGTCGTGCGCGGGGTTAGAGTTAACTTAGAGCCTGTTTAGCGATTATTGTATTTAATATAACGCTAAGAATATAATATTATATAACTTATTATATGCCTACGTTTAGTAATAAGTAATTTATATAATAGTAGTAGAATGCGTTCTATAAAATATAATATATTTAAAAGCTATAAAATATATTATATTATAGTCTAATTAGAGTAGAGAATTTTATTATATAACTTTAGAAATTATTCTATACTTTTTAGGCGCTATATAAGTATATAATAGTAGTAAAATAGCTTAAATTAGTTAAAAAAGTAGTTATTATTATATAATATATAGTAAATTAAAGCTTTACTATATTCTACTACTACTTATAATAAGAGTATTCTACTACTACTTATAATAAGAGTATTCTACTACTATAGTATAATAAAAATATTCTACTACTATAATAATTAGTTTACTAGCTCTAAGACTTTATTATATTCTACTACTACTTACTTATATTAAGTTTGTAGATATTCTACTACTATAAACTAGCTTACTAGCTTTTATAGTTTTCTTATATTCTACTACTACTTATATACTCTAACTTTATTATATTCTACTACTACTTATAATAAAAGTATTCTACTACTATAAACTAGCTTACTAGCTTTTATAGTCTTTTTATATTCTACTACTACTAATATACTTCTAAGCTCTCTATATATTCTACTACTACTTATAATAAAGTATTCTACTACTACTTATACGCTCTAACTTCTATATATTCTACTACTACTTATAGGCCTCTAACCTTTATATATTCTACTACTACTTATACGCTCTAACCTTTATATATTCTACTACTACTTATACGCTCTAACTTTTATATATTCTACTACTACTTATACGCTTTTAAGCTCTTTATATATTCTACTACTATATACTAGCTTACTAGCTACTATTTCTAAAGTAGAATATTCTCTTAAAGTAGAGTAATTCTATAGTAACTCTAAAATCTACTAAGTAAATAAGAACTAAGGTAGCTCTACTATAAGATAATAAAAAAAGTATAAGATTATTAATCTACTTAGTAATATAGAAGAGTTAGAAAATAAAGCTAGAGATAATCTTAAGAATATAATAGTACTATATCTATCTAATCTACTAATATACTTCTAAGTTTACACTAAGTTAGAATAAGATAGAAGCTTTACTCTACTTATAGTAAGCTACCTTAGTAGACACTATTAACACTAGAGGCTTTACTCTACTCTTAGTAAGCTACCTTAGTAGGTACTATTAACGCTAGAGGCTCTACTTATAGTAAGCTATCTTAGTAGACACTATTAACGCTAAAGGCTCTACTTATAGTAAGCTACCTTAGTAGACACTATTAATGCTAGAAGCTTTACTTATAGTAAGCTATCTTAGTAAGCACTATTAGTGCTACTAACGCTTAATACTCTACTTATATAGTTCTAGTGTACGTAGGTAATAATAGCTATAGTAGCTAGCACTATACTTACGTAGTAAGCTACTTTAATAGTAACTAGTGTACTAGTATATAAAGTGTTCTTATATAAATTAGATCTTTAATAACCTAAGAATTATCTAAAAAAAGAATATTTTTTAATAAGAGCTTTTTAGAATTATCTTATTATCTACTATTTTATCTTTTACTTATACTTTTTAGTATTAAACTCTTATATAATACTTTAGATAATAGAATCTTTCTATAATAGAACTTCTTTTTACTAAACTAGCGTTTATATACTTTCTTACTTATACTAACTACTTTATATTCTTATAGTAATATATCTTTATACTTTTTAATACTTATATAAATAGTAAAGCTTATAAAGATATATTCTACTACGTAGTATAAGAAGTAGTTAGTATACGTTAATATAATATATATAGTAATAATAACTATAATAAATATAATAAGTATAGACTTAGCTCTTTTCTTTAGATTAGCTAGAACTATAATAGTAGTTATATTTAGGCTAACTACGTTTTTACTACTAAGTAATATTAGATAAGATAATTACGCAGATAAGATAACTACTTAAGAATACTAGAAAATAGTAATTTAACTAATACCTAAAATAGTAATATTAGAAGTATAATAAAATACTAGGCTAGCTAGATTAATATAACACTATAATAGTATATTTAGAATATATACTAGTGTAGAACTATAGTTTAATAGAACTAATAATCTAATAGAGTATTATAGTAAGTAAAACGCTAAGCTATACTAACTATAAAAGTATTTAGAAAGTATTCTCTACTATTAGGTAGAGAGTATTAGACACTATTAAGTATTTAGAACTTATCTTTTTAATTATATAATTTTTATAGTATAATATCTATTTAGTATTTAAGCTATTAAGTAAAGAAGTATTAGCTTCTTTATAAGTTATTTAGAACTATAATAACTACTAAAAAAATAGAAAAAGTATAAGGTATTAAGAGATCTAGTAATTCTTTTTTCTAAGTATTTATCTACTACTTCTTTAACTACTTTAATACTAAAGATACTAACTTTTAGAACTATCTCTAAAGTAGAAAGTATATTATTATTTATAATAGTAACTAATAGTATAGTCTCTATAGTTTACTCTAGATATGCTACTTTAGTCTTTACTAGTAATAATATTACTAAGTTTCTTAAAGACTATAACTAATAAGCTAATAATAAAAGCCTTTCTAATAAGATAAAAGTCTCTATTCTTCTAGATTATATTAGTAATAAAACTTACTCTATTACTTATATTATTAAGCTCTTTACTAGTTATAAAAAAAAGAACTAAACTAAGCTTAAGGTAAATATAAAGAAATACTAAGTAGATAAGAATACTACTATTAAGATAAGTAAGCACTTATACTTATAAGCTTTTATTTATAAGTATATAAATAATCTACTTAGTCTTACTAAGTATTATACTTACTTCTACGTAATAGTAGAAGCTTACGTTACTAATAAGTAAGTTCTATAAGAGAAACTTAGCTTTCTCTTCTACTATAGACTTTTAAAGTATAATAAGTAGATAGTTACTTTTATAATATTTAATACTTCTAAAGGTAATAATTAGGCTAAGTACTATATAGATAAGATTTATACTTTTCTTAAGAAATACTATAAAAAAAATAATACTATTAATAATATATATATCTAGAAACGTAGTAGTATAGATACTAAGATAAAATATATTATACTTACTAATAAGCGTACTACTTTTAATCTAGAGAAGGTAAAGAGTGTTATTACTAATCTTAAGAAGTAATAAAAGAAGTAAGAATCTCTACTTTCTTCTAACGTAAATTCTAAAGTAGAATAACTTATAACTTTACTAAATAGACTAAAGCTTAATATAGATATAGTTTATTTCTTTATAGCCTACTTATTAGTTACTCTAATCTTTAAGAACTTCTATAATACTTTATACTTTATAGGCTATATAACTAAAAAAAAGCTCTTTATTAAGAGAAATAATAGTTCTTTTATTACTAAAGTATCTAGAAATATAGCTTCTAAGAGAGAAACTATTTAGTATAAAAAAGCTAAGTATACTAATACTTACTATATATATAATAAGAAGAGTTATAAGATTACTAATTATAAACTCTATAATAACCTCTATAACTTAGATTAGATTAGTTACTATTAGAATAGTAAGCGTAAGTAAGAAATATACTATTTTAGCCTACTCTATAATTACTTTAACTAAATCTCTAGTACTTCTCTATTAATTTATAAGCTTAAATAGCTTAGATCTAAAATTAAGAAGTATTTTAATATTACTAATAATATAATAGAATAGCCTACGTTTAGTATTCTTTCTAAGAAGTTTAAAAGAGACTTTTACTTTAAGTATATTCTTAAGTAATTAAACTTAGCTAATATAATTACTTACTTAGACTATTACGTTAGTTATAAAAATACTTAATAGTAGTTTATTTAGTTTTAGAAAGGTATTAAGTACTCTAAGAAGGCTTAGCTACTTAATAATATTAATTCTAATAGTATTATTATTAGTAGTAAGAACACTACATTTCTTTATAGCGCTAAAGGTAATACTATTAGATACTTAAATAAAAGTATTCTTAGTAACTCTAATTAAGTTTATAATAGCTATATTAAGAAAAGAGGTAGACTCTCTAAGTAGTTATAGAGCTCTTAGCTATTACCTAAAAAGAATATAATTAGATAGATTTCTAACTTATAGGTGTTAGATAC